GTTCTAAAAAATCTAAATAAAATAAATTAGCTAATTTGAAAATGAAATTTACAAGTTTATCATAAAGAGGAAAATTTACAAAACATCATAGTAATATATTATAACTTTCTTTTTTTATTTTTCATAAATTCTTATTTTTGTAAACTAAGAAAAAAAATGTAAACTATAAAATTAAGAATGAAAAAGTAAGATGGCATATAAATGGAAAATTTCAAATAGTCAAAACTAATAAAAAAAGATGGAATACAGAAAAAAATATAAGCAATGGAAAACCTAAAAAAAATAGAAATATGAATTAAAAAAAAAAAAATAGACAAACGGTAAACAAAAAAAATATATAAATTTAAAAACAAAAAAATTAAAAATATTTAATCATCTCAATTTAAAAGTTTAAGATATACATAATCATACTTCAAAAGAAAATAAAAAGAAATCTACAAGCATACTTAAATTTTTATCAATATGATCGTGATATATGTTTAATATTGAAAATTTTAATTAAAAAACTAAAATTAAAAATAGAAAACTAACAAAATTAATTATCAAATAACTAACCAAATAATAATAAAAGAAAATTCTAATCGTCTAAAACTTATAGAAAAAAATTCAAATAGTTAAAACTAATTAAAAAAAGATGAAATACAGAGAAAATATAAGTCATAGAAAACCTAACAAAAATAACGAGTTCTTATAGTTCTTGATGATGTGGATGATCTAGAACAATTAGAGGTTTTGGCTAAAGAGCCTTCTTGGTTTGGTTCCGGAAKTCGGATCATCGTTACCTCTGAAGATAAAACGATTCTAAAGGCACATGAGATTAATGATATTTACCCTGTGGGTTTTCTTTCTAAAGAAGAAGCTCTTGAGATCTTTTGTCTATATGCTTTCAAGAAAAGTTMTCCACGTGATGGGTTTGAAGAGCTTGCAAAGAGAGTAGCAAACCTTTGTGGTAATCTTCCATTAGGCCTTCGTCTTGTGGGTTCGTCTCTGCGTGGTCAGACCAAAGTAGAGTGGTGTGATGGGAAGAGAATGAAGAAAATGAGAGAGATGGTGTGAAGAAGATAATCGAAGAACAGTAATGGCTACTCCTTGGTACTTTGTTGCTCTACCTCTCACCATTCTTACTAGCTCTCAGGTTCCATTTCTAACCCTAATCTCCAAATCCTCTTTTCCCTTCTTCTTCGCGTCGTTTTCGATTTGTTACTATTTCTGAAATCTTGGAATCTCCGGTGGTTCATGGATCTGATTTGAGTTATTGGTGGTTGTATATTGTCTCCAAATCTATTTGGATCATGTGGGTTAGAGTGTGATACTGTTGTTTCCACGTCAGGTTCCATTTCTAACCCTAAATCTCCAACAGATCATTTGCCATCACTGAAGGGTTTGAAAAGGGTCCTTGGTGGCAACGAATCTTTGATGGGTATAGCATCACCACTTGGTTGGTAGTTCTGAATCTAGGATCCACCGGCTTACTCGTCTCGTGGCTAATGAAGTATGCAGACACTATTGTGAAGGTAAGCAGTGGCGGATCCAGAAAAAAATTTCACCGAGGGCAAAATATATATCTTATTATATAAATGAGAATGCGCGCGATGAGAGTTTGACACGTAGGC